TGGGGAGGGGACGGGAAGAGGGGGAGGGGACAAACGCAGGAGCCCCTGGCTGTGTTCACCAGGCAGGGTACCCTGGGAGAGGCTTTGTGCTTTCTGATATCACAGTGGGCCCAAAGAAGGAACCTCTGTTGAAGAAGAGTTCAATCTCTGCTTCGGGAGTGGGGAGAAGAGAGTGATGGGGGGTGGGGAGGTGCAGGAGGTTGTTTGTATCTAAGAGGAGCTTTCCAAATCCCTAAGTCTTTCCTTGAGCCCCTCTGAGAAGGGGGTCAAGAGCTTTGCTCCTATTTTCTGTACTCAGGACAAAGATATTGACAAATAACCTATGAGCACATTTGCAAGAAACTTTCTTCTGGAATGATAGCGTGGAGAGCCAGAGAGCTCATGCATTTTTTTCCCCAGATACACATTCATGGCTAGTTTTTGTTTTGGGATACTTCAGTCCTCTGCCCCTCTATCTAAACATGTGTGACGTGTGTGTGCACGTGTGCATGCACGTGTGTGTGCGCGTGCATGCGTGTGTGCAAATTCCTTGCTCATTCTGTGGGTCGAAGCACTCCTAAAGCGGCAATAAACAAGTTGCTGATTAACTGTGAGATCCACAAGGCTGCTTTAGGCAATCCCTAACTTGACTACATCCCATTCTCCATGTACCTTCGAGGTGCCAGTTCTTGAGAGGCAACAGAATCAGACTAAAGAAGGTCAGAAGGGGTAGGGGTGGCACACAGAACTAGTCATTAGGGCCCCACAGCAGGCAACGTCAGAACAGAGTTCAGTGGAAGAATGCTGGCTCTGAAAGATGGGGGTGGGGGAGAAAGGGTTAACATTCCCCCCCCCCCAAGGTTTAGTTCCTTGGAAGAATCCGGGTCAGTGTAGCTGTGTAGTTTTTTGTTGTTGTTGTTTGCTTTTAAGTCAGAGGCTGAGTAGAAGCATTTTAAGAAGCTTGCAAAATGTATTTAGGGGCACAGCAGAAAGAAGGGTAACTTCATAGGTGCATCACCTTTCACCAACAGGATTTCAAACACGCAGGGAAAACCCTCTTTTTCAAATGCAACAGACAATTTTCTGTCATCACTTTTCCATCTGCTTAAAAATAAGAGGAAGGGAAAAAAGTCCTACCCCACTGGCCCAGGTTGCAGGTCAACAAAGGAGGCATTGTTCCATCACTTCTTCAGAACATGATAGGGCACAGCCCACTCTGCAAGCGTGTTAAGAAAACAAAACAAAACAAAAAAAACCCGCAGAGTATAGCCCAAGGGGCCTAGTCATTAGGGCCCCACAGCAGGCAACGTCAGAACAGAGTTCAGTGGAAGAATGCTGGCTCTGAAAGATGGGGGTGGGGGAGAAAGGGTTAACATTCCCCCCCCCCAAGGTTTAGTTCCTTGGAAGAATCCGGGTCAGTGTAGCTGTGTAGTTTTTTGTTGTTGTTGTTTGCTTTTAAGTCAGAGGCTGAGTAGAAGCATTTTAAGAAGCTTGCAAAATGTATTTAGGGGCACAGCAGAAAGAAGGGTAACTTCATAGGTGCATCACCTTTCACCAACAGGATTTCAAACACGCAGGGAAAACCCTCTTTTTCAAATGCAACAGACAATTTTCTGTCATCACTTTTCCATCTGCTTAAAAATAAGAGGAAGGGAAAAAAGTCCTACCCCACTGGCCCAGGTTGCAGGTCAACAAAGGAGGCATTGTTCCATCACTTCTTCAGAACATGATAGGGCACAGCCCACTCTGCAAGCGTGTTAAGAAAACAAAACAAAACAAAAAAAACCCGCAGAGTATAGCCCAAGGGGCAAGAGTGAGCAAACCAAGCCTTCGATGAGGTAAAGGTTTGGCTGCAGATTTGAGGGCTGTCCTGAAGGTGGAAATGAGGCTTAGGGGGTACATACAGCCAGAGCCACCATGATGCCTTCCACTCCAGGTGGCCGGGACCGTGCAATAAAGGAGAGCTGATTTCTGTCAAGCTGGGGTCACTGGACAGCAGTCAATGCCCCGGTGAGCAAATCTAGGCAGGTGCTTCTGGAAGAGGGTCAGCCTGTGTCTGTCAGCCAGGAACCTTCTTCGCGGGTTCGAATCTTCTAACTGGCCTCTCGGCCTCCAAGCTTTGCAATCCACTGTCCACACTTCTGCCATGGCCACCTTTCTCAAGAGAAACCCTGATGTCCGTTCTCTGCCTCAGAGCATTTCCTGGCTCCTCACAGGCGCACGATAAAGCTAACACTGCCCTTTAGCAAGATGTTTAGGGTCTTGTGACAAGGCCTCAGGCCTCTGCTCGAGTCCTTCACATGCCTGGTCTCCAGAGCGTGTTCCCTAATAAAGACTTCAAATTCTAGGGCTAGGGCCTCCATCCTCCCCAGGCCCATGACTCAGCATGTTTCCAATGCCTCAACCTACCTATGTTTTCAAGGTACAAAACACAGGCCACCTCCTCCAGGAAGTTTTCCGAGGTACCCCAATTTACAAGTTATTCCCTGAGCCTCCATAGCATCTTGCGTCTATCTAGATGGTAACTGTCTCTCTTGAACCCAGGCTCTCTCAGCGGAATTTTCCAGCGAGGGCAGTCCTGTCTTCCTCGTTCCCATCCCCACCCCCAGGAAGACCGTAATAATCAGTCGTCCACACACGTGCGGTTTTGTCTTTCCCTGCTTGCTCCTCATCTGCCAGTCTATCACCCCTGGCAGGAAGAAGCCAGAAACGCTCGGTCATCAATCAGGAAGTCAGGGTCTGTCTGCCCGGCAGTCGACTGTAAGCTGCTCGCAGCCTGCCAGTGCGTCTTTCGTCGGGGTAATCCCAGGGTTTAACACGGTGTCTGCACCGCGAATACTCCACAATGAAAGAAAGAGGGGCTCGCCTAAGGTCAGGCAGTCAGGAACCGCTCAATCTCACCCGGACGGGATCTGGGGAAGCCATTTACAACATTATCTCAGTGGGGAGCTCGGAGGAAGGAAGGAATGAAGTGTGTGAGAAACGTGTGCCAGGCCTCCGGGACGCGGGAAGGCTGGGGGGTGGGGGGCGACATCAAACAGGACGCTGGGCTCCCGGGCGGCCCGGAGCGGC